GTGTGTGTGTGTGTGTGTGTGTGTATATAAATATGTGTGTGTGTGTGCGTGTGTTTATGTGTGCGTGTGTGTGTGTGTGTGTGTGTGTGTAGCTTTTTTCAGATTCAGACATATATATACATATATATTCACTTGAATATACATATATCACCTGAGTAATAATTAATCCAGTCCGTGTCTACTACCATTCACAGGCCGATCTCCGTCTCGCCTGTCCAATTCCGCCAACACCAGCTTCGCTGTATGTGCAGTGCCCACGTCCCGGTCAATCAGATCGATCCCTAATACGTCTAGTGAGGCTGACGGTGTGTTTATTGTCAACAGGCGAGTGCGTACGGGGTCCAACTCGCAGGAACAACTGAGTATGTAGTGTGTATAGGGAATTGCATATCACCACGCCGCTTGTTTAAATGTTGATATGTGATTGGGTGTTTGATAAAATCATGAATCGTTTTTAAATTTTAACCTGGCGATGGTACTAATCAGGTGAGAAGTTTATCAAGTTATCTATCATACTCATACCGGTCCTATTCCTCCAGTTAGCTGCTCTCGACTACCAACTATTCTTAGGCTTTTCATAGACCACCCGCTCTGCCCTATTCCAAAGGCAATAGAGATGGATATCTGCAGCAATACCTCTTTGTATAGGAGTCCATATACGCTCAGTCACGCGTGTGTCTGGCGGTTTACCTACCCACCGTTGTGTGTTGTAGCAAGACTCCATTCTCGCAGTAGGAATCGCAATAGGATTGCCACTACAGCTCAATAGGCGTGTGGGGGTGTAGATAGAGAGGCTCCCAGGAGATAGATATACTTACACCACCCATCAGATGTGTACGTTTATGCAATACGTTCGTTCCATTGGCACAGGTCAGCGACGGCCCTCAGATCTGGATGTGGACAGTGATACCAGCACACACCATAGCCACAGCCACCGCACCGGCCGATACTCACGGAGCACTTGTATCAACGGATGTGCTACCTCCACGGAGATGCGTGAGATTCTGGCGGAAATGCGACAACTCCGGGAGGATCTCAGAGTGATGAGGACGATTGTGGCACAGGGACCGGTTATGCAGCCGTGAAGTACAGTACAAGCACTATATACATGTGTATATATGGTGTGTGTATGTATATATTTATGTGTATGTGTATGTGTATGTGTATGTATATGTATGCATATGTATATATATATATAAATATATATATATATATAAATATATATACATATATATATTCATATTGTATGTATGTATGTATGTATGTATGTATGTATATGCATGTATGTATATGCATGTATGTATGTGGTGGAAAGCTGCACTACCGTATGTCAGCATACATTTCTTTCAAAGGCCGTCGAATTCTTCATTTGTTGAGCTATTAATCTCTGCTCAGTGTTTTCGATATGCCTCGGACCTCGACTGCATCGGATGGATGGATCGCAAGTCACAACGTCACAATTCACAATGACACATCGACACCACACGACACAATGACTGATCGACACCACACAATGAAGCGCAAACCAAGCGTACAGGCGATGTGCATTTATATCTGCAATGAGATCGTAGCGCATGACTGACTGTCTTAGGTTGGTGATCTCACTAGGAGAGCTGTATTATCAGACGCCTTGAATGAGGACATTCAGCGGCGAGAAGCACTCACAGGATTAACAAGTTTAGTGATCGTGTACCGACGACTACCCAGGTTTACATAGGCAGTGAACTGTGCAGGAAGAAGAAGTCACTACATGTATTCGTTTCTGCGGTGGGGTACAATCGAGCAGGAAGGCACACGAACTTGTCAGCAAATCTGGCTTACACCAAAATCCCACTTCGCCAAAATCCGAATTGTAAAATCCGACTTGCACCAAAATCCGATTTGCTCCAAAATCCGACTTGCTCCAAAATCCGATTTGCTCCAGGTAGTAAAGAATGCACGATCTGTGTGACTGTGGTCACGCCGGCGGATGCTTCACATAAGCCACAGCTTACAAAAACGATCGGGGTGTGTATGAAAATACCATAACATATTCTGATACTATTTTAGAACCATTATGTGCGTACTCTAGATTACTCGAACAAATAAACAGAACTGTAGAAGTGGATGATATAACGGATGGCATTGAGTGCGATGCGGAAATGCAGACTGCTAGATCTCTATACTTCATGTTGCGCGACCGAGCCAAGTTTCTGCTTGAGAAAGGTGTTACGTAGATGAATGAATCGGTCTTCTATAATACAACTGGTACATAGGTATAAGAAGTAGACTATTCTCAATATATATATATATATATTTGTGTGTGTGTGTGTGTGTGTGTGTGTGTGTGTGTGTGTGTAATAAAAATNTATATATATAAATATATACCTTCATATATATATATATACATACA